TATATATATATATATATATATATATATATATATATATCAGGGCTCTACAGTGCGACAATTTCAGTCGCATTCAGTCGTGCGACTATGAAAAAATATACCAGTGTTATGAATAAAGGGGGGGGTTTAAATGAATCTAGTGAGTCAGTGATTCATGATTACCCATTCATAAATACTGTCACTTGCTTCATTCCTAAATGAATCAATTGAATGAATGATTCAGTGATAAAATCAGTGATTGTCGCCACCTGCTGGCAGTTTTAGTTAAATTTTTAAAGTATCTTTTCAGTTCTTTAAATCATTTAATATTTCTATATTCAAATTTTTTTTTAAACATTAATCTCAACATGAATTTATGGATTTAATTGCACTCATGCCATCTCTGATCCTCATTAAATGTCTGAAAATACACCTACAAGCCACTTTTGTGGTGTTCTGTGCCAACTCTGTACAAATTAATTGTAATACTGATTTCATTTGATTGGTAACTTATTCTTCTTATTCTACTTGTTCTTATTCTATGGTATCAATTAGAATTTTTAAAAAGCTTCTAAAATATAATTTTTTTTAAAAATTGACAGAAGATGACATACTTTAAATAAAATGCCATTACAAAGGTAAAAACTAAATTCCACTGTGAATCACTTTAAGGAGTCAAATATCACCTCGTAAAGGGAAGGCAAATTTTTTTTATCAAATTTTGCTCCTAAATTTTTTAAGTTAGGAGCATAAGTGCTCCTAAAAAGAAAAAAAAGCGTAGAGCCCTGTATATATATATAAGATTTCTCTCTGCTTGCTTACTTGCGTTCGTATCTTAATCCACAAGGTCTGTATGTAGCTGATGTTCTTGACTGATTTGTCACTGTGTGTGTCAGTGTGTAACTTTTGTTAACCAGCTGAAGCTCTAAATCACACTGCCAAATGTGTTTGTGTTGAGCAGACGTATCCAGTGGTTGGTCAGGCATCACAGACGAGTATTCAAAACTATTTCTGCGCAATGCTTCAAATGCATTGACTTTGTGCTTCTCTTTTCTAGTCGTGTTCTTTTCCGTACGATGGGCGACATAGATAGGTTGAAATGGATCAAAGCAGCTCGGGATATTGTGACGTTTCCAGCACTCAAGTGTTCAAGACTTTGTTGAGGGATTGGTTCCATTGTTTGGTTATTGGGCCATAACGTAGGGTTTTGTTGAACTATAAAATGTGGTTGAAATGTTTGGGATTTCACACGACATTTATTTCTCAAACGAAGAGTGCGGTCAAATCAAATGTGGACTTTACTCAAATGAACCAAAGTGGTATTGTAGTTTATACTTGTTTCAAAGTTCAACTGAAGTGGTGTACAATTACTATGTCCGTTTTTCAATGTTTAATTTGACAGGACAACTATGCCAACTGCTTTTGCTGACAATATTAATGGACTGAATGCCCATTTTTGTAGTTTCTACCAAAGACCTTTACTATTCTTTGTTCTCTCTTCGATTTTATAACTGCATTTTCATTTTAACATTCTGAGGAAATAGTTAGAAATATGACCAAATCTAGTACCTTATTTACATAATATGTGCATTCAAAAAAATCCTAATGAATCACAATTCTTTAGAAAGTGAATATAAAGATTGTGGGTTTTTTTCTTCAATTTCTCAGTGAAGACGATAACATAGTATTGAATTGGCTGTAATCTACAGTGAAGGAATGTCATAGTAATGAATGAATATTTGTGTTAATATTCCTAAGTGGCCATATGGATTAGTGCTTATTTGAAGTATATATTATTTCTTTTTATACTACTAGTACTTGTTTCGTAAAATTCTGAAATCAGTTTTGAAACATTAGTTGTTGTGCACTACTTGTATGCTGTCAGGAATTTAAAAGAGTACTCGGCCCGTAAGGTGCTTTCTTTAGTTTCCATTTGACTGGTGTTTGTTTTTCTGTCTGTTTAGTTGGGATCTGAAGAATTTAGATATGACATAAGAAATCTTCTAACTTTCTTTTTGAACCTTGAAGTCTATTATTGTATTGTCAAATGTTGTCTACCATGGCTGTGTAGAACATATCTGATTGTGATGTACAATGGGTCCCTTGTTCATGCTAGTTGAAATGGCTGAGACAGACAGTGGGTTACATTTTATGAAAACTGTTCAAGTATCTACATTTCCTAGCCTTAAACCTCACTTTTTGGCCTAGTTATGTTTTCCTGTTATAGTAGTAAATAAGAAAACAAAATTGTACAAAAGAAAAATATAGGCCTGCGTCATTCTGCTTGATAATATTAAGTCTTGTAAGGATCAAGTCTCTTTGGAACAAATTTGTGCCTTTAATAATAACACATTGAAAGTATTTTTGATTGAACAAATGGATAATTCTTTACTGAATTTTAGTGCCTTGATGTATTTTAATCTGTATTTCTCAATGCACGAGAGGCCCATCACACACTTTTTACAGACCAGTGTATTAAAATAATTTTAAAAAGCTGCTCTGCCATGCCTTTAACCATTTCGGTTTGAGTAATAAGTGATTATTATTCTGATAAAGAAACATTTATTGATGTTGAAAAGTCAGCATGATGCTGCATGTACACAGTGTCTACTGTCAGAGTAACAGTTAAGGTGTTTTGCAATCGTATTCTTTACCAAGGGTGTGTTCAAAGTAGCAGCTCATCTGAACCGTTCATGAAGTATGACAGAAATTAATAAAGTGGAATTAATATAAAACCTAGTCATTTCGAGTTTGGGCTTCCAACTGAATTTCTGTGTTAATGGTTTACTTAACAGTGATTTTCTGTACAAAATGGCAGATAGAAATTATTTAGTCTCAAAAATCTAAACCACAGCATGTTCTTACACACAAAGAGACCCCTGTCTGCATCAGCCATTTTAATACCAACGGTAATCTTTAACAAAAATGACCATATAATGTTGATGTAAGACCAGGCATCTGTAATTAAAGAAGCACCAAGGACTCTTTTGTTTAGCAATGTGTAAATTAATGTATTGGAAATGTTACCATAATGCTCTGCAGTGGAAATAATCATTGCTTTCTTTTTGCATTCTTGTGGATTTTTCTTTTAATCATTTGTTTGTTTTTCTAATTTTGTTCTCTATCAGTAGTGTGATTTATTGAACCTAAGGATTTATGCAATCTTGTATATACATATTACATATGAAACTGGTTAAATTTAGCAAACTAGCCAGGAGGAAAACTACTACAATAGTACACTTTTGTAAGAGGCTAAAATAATAATAATAAAAAAACAATTGTCAGAATTTTGGAACCACTGTTCCCTATAATTAATGTTACGGTTAATCGAATATGAAATCCCTGAATATTGAATGTACCATTCAAATTACATATTAAATGGGTCACTGGAATAACATAGAGAACAATTAATCTATAATGATGTAGCACTAGTTTTGTGAATTGCGATACATTACAAATAAATTTATAAGTTAAACACAATTGCAATTTTCAAGTTTGTGTATTTATCCATGTAACAATTTGATGGAAATATGAGATGTATTTTCTCAGGGTTTTACAGGAGAACTGTAGAATAGAGAGGGATGTCCAATTTTCAAAGGAAACTGCAACTCACAGATTTATTAGCTCAAAAGTCAAAATGAGAAAATCATTTATATTGCAAGGAAGAAACATATCCCTTATTTTGGTACAGTATGCATCAATATATAGAACAGCTTATATTCTAATTAGTGTTGAAATACTATACCATTTGCTGTCAGTATAATACTTTGTGTATGTGTTTTCAACACAAGACCTTAAACCATTTTACTGGGAGTTCTGTGTTTAAGTTATGGAGGCTTCTTTATGGATTAGTTGTACGTTTTGATGGCCAGAGAGGTTTTTCATCACTAGAATTACTTAAGATGGTATTATTTATAATGCATAATCTTTCTCTTGTAGTGTATCATTTAAAATTGTTAACACTTGTCCACACTACAGCAGTTATGCAATGGTTTACAGAATTCATGGAATTATTTTTGTCATCTTGGGAATTAAATAATTTTTGATCTTTACCCTGCCTCGAGTGTTTTGTCGTCTTCTTTCCCTTCCTTCCCTACTTATGAACCATCAGTTACAGAGTAGACGAAGAACAGTTTGTCTTTTTGGTTAAGTTAGAATCCATTTAAGGAATACAATATGACTGTTCTTGAGTCAATATGCTACTTAAAGTGTTTATGGGCACTAGTAATATTAAGACAGTCTTTTCATTTTCAGTGTGAAAACATGCCAGTAAGGTCTGTAATCACATTCATGTGAAAATATAAAAAGCTAAATATTTAGCACTAGGTACCTATAATGGAATAACTCCTGGTTATGGTGGTGCTACACGGTGATGACTGTCAAGAGACAGAGATCATCCAAAAGGTAACACAGCAATTTCACTGCCTGCAGATACAGAAGAGTAAAGTACACAAATAAAGGTTCTTTACTGGGATTGATGGTTCACGGAAACTTTTTATTACACAAAAGTACACTAAGAACTGTTTCTTTGGGTTCTTTAGGGAACCAAAAATGGTTCTAGGGCAGGGGTAGGCAAGTTCAGTCCTAGAGAGCTGCAGTCCTGCAGAGTTCAGCTCCAACCCTAATCAAACACACCTGAACAAGCTAATCAATGTCTTCAGGATTACTAAGGCTATAGGCAGGTGAGTTTTTTTTTTTTTTTCAGGGGTGGGGCTGAACTCTGCAGGACTGTGGCTCTCTAGGACCGAACTTGCCTACCCCTGTTCTAGGGCATCACAGCAAAACACCATTCTGCAACCATTATTTTTTTTAAGAGTGT